GGGGGGGGGGGGGGGTGTCCGCTTTGGGGCGTATCAAGACCCCCGATCCGACACTGGTGCTGACGTCAGCAGACGAGCCCGAGTTTAATTAAACCCATATTGAGAAATAGTTCAAATTGCTGCGCTCCCCAGCCCCGTCGCGACACACGGCTCAGTATTCGCGCGTGCGAACTTCTGCACCACACCGATACGGGCTGTAGAGATAAGTTTTGGTGAAAGTGAGAGTCTCATTATAGACAATGGCTGAACTCAAGGTAAGTGATTATCTCCGTGGACAAAACTTTCAGTATTCTCGATGTTTTACACCATGAACTGTAGCCTTTGTTTTTGCAGCGTATTCTAGGAGTTAATTGTCAAATGTATCTTTTATTCTGTTTTATTAGGCAGTCTGAATAAAAGCAAAACATGTTAACGTACACATGACAGCATATATTTGTTTGTAAGTGATTAAACGCCATTTCCTTACATGTTTCGATGACTCGCGTGCTTCATGGACATACCTGCGCACACATGTCGAGGGGCGTTCCCGGCAGACCAATCAGAACCCTGCAAGCAAAAACCACACAGAACGGACGAAATGCGAAGGAAGCCGACGTCTGAACATTATTATTGCACAAGCAAAAGCACATAAAAAAAGCAAACACACCGTCTCCAATATACTGAAGTTTTGCAATTAGCAAGTTTTTTCTTTTTCAACAGTTTTGGTGACACAGCATATTTTTCTTCAATGTTCGATTCACTTGAAATAACTTTTAAATATGGAAAATAAAATGTACATGATTGACGAAATGCAATGAAACGGAATAAGCCCTCTTTAAGGGGGCGGGTGCACCTAAGCGTGACTCAGCGGAAGCCGCCCCACGGTGATCGTGGGCCGTTCGTGAGTAAACGACCGAAAGTGTCGCAACGTCGCTTTTCCAGTGAGGCCTTGAACGGATACTTTACACCGCACACAATGCCACAACGGCCCTAAATTGCTTGGTTTCCAAAAGTAACATTTGTTTCCTGAAAAGAAACCTATTATTCTGTATGTGCTGCATATTGTTCTCAGTGTTTGGAATTCATGTGTTTTGCACTATCACTGCGATTCCTGATTTTACGGTAAAATAACCAAAGCGGTTTAGACTGAAGCGCCGGCCCATCTCAGCTGTGCTCCTCCTGCTCTGATCCCTGCAGTACCTGACCGGCTTTGGAAATGAGTTCTCCTCTGAGGATCCACGCTGCCCCGGAGCCCTTCCGGAAGGACAGGTGAGGTGCGGATGGGGCCGCCGCGCCCGACTTAGTCCTCTCCAGCGCACCCCCTGGGGCGTTTAACCCCAAGAACATTCGGATACCTTTCAGTTAACGTGACCACTCGTCCAGACAGCTGAGTTTTCTGGACTGCTGTTGGATGTCCTTCTTTTAGCCCTCTTGTGCTTGTTCCTTCCCTCTAACCGCATCCTCGTCAGCAATTAGCCCCACTCCCCCCGAGCCTTAAGTCCTCCTTTTTGGACGCTGATGTCTTTTGTAGAGTCACGCCGATGGTCACCTTATTTTAAGTGCAAAAGTGAGAATATTCAGCAGGAGAGGAGGGTCAGAGGATATCACCTGCGGAAACTTGATGGCATCGCTAACTGACGACTCCAAAGAAACCATTTCACACGACACGCTCGCCTTTGTGTTCTGCAGAACAATCCACAGGTGTGCCCGTACAACCTGTACGCTGAGCAGCTGTCTGGCTCCGCCTTCACATGCCCGCGCTCGGCCAACAAGCGCAGGTATGGCCGCTCGGCTCGCCAAGGCTGAAACGTTCTGATAACGTTATTGGTTTCCTTCTCGCCGATTCAGTGTGGCACATTTTACAGCTGGCTGTACCGCATCATTCCCTCCGTGCGGCACAAGCCCTTCACCGTAATGCATCATGGGAGCCTGACCGACAACTGGAATGAAGTGGAACCAGATCCCAACCAGGTAGGCGGGGATCAGGAATGTGGTAGCCTGCTTGTCAAGCATTTTATCCCAATTGATGTTATGGGAAAGAAAATTCTGCAATGAGAAATGCATTTCACTGAGATCAGGAGTGAAATACACTATAAGTGCAGGTGTTTGACAGGGTTGCCAGGAGTCCCAGCAGACACTACAGTCTGAATGTGCACGATGGGCAGCTCGCCATTAGGTGGAGTCATGAGTCTTGGACGAAATAGTCAGTTGGTGCGAGGAGCAGGAAGTTCTGAGGAGGACTTTCAAAGTAGGTGGGGTGGCTCACTGAGCAGCTTTGCAGGTCATGTGATCATGTGCATGGATCATTTCAGCTGCGGTGGTTGCCATTCACCATCCCCAAGGTTGCGGAGAAGAAGGTTGACTTTGTGATGGTGAGTTCAAAGTGCTGCTCTGGCTCCTCTGCACACCATGCTTTTCCCATCATGCTCCACTGCTTCCTCTTGCTGGTACCTGCTTTCTTTCTGATGCAGTGCTATTCTTTACCTGATTGGCTGACTGGCTTTATATCCTGGCCTATCAGGGACTGAACACTGTCTGTGGGGCGGGGGATTCCAGAGCCCGCAACGGGATCGCCATCCATGTGTACACCTGCAACACATCCATGATTGACAGGTGAGAGGCCACACCCACTTACGCTGTGATGCTTATATTTGTGGCCTTAGGCTTCTGTACCTGACATTTTCTGGGGTTTGGTGTTTTTCAGATCCTTTTATAACTCAGATGGAGATTTTCTCATTGGTGAGTCTGTACAGCAGAGTCTATGGTCAGACATGTAATCGTGAAGCAAGGAGTAGACTAACTACCTATATATGAGATCGTGTGATAGCTGTGCATTCTGGGTAATTGAGTTTTTTTGAGACTTCCAGTTCACTGCAGTCTTCCTGTGTCAGTCCCACAGCAGGGAAAGATCTTTGTCACCACAGAATTTGGCAAGATGATTGTGGAACCCAATGAGATCTGTGTGATCCAGGTGGGACAGAGACTCTGTGTCTGTCTGTGTGTCTCTCTGCGAAGGTAAAGCTGCTGTTCCTAGAGGCCTCTATGGCATCTTATCCCTGTGTGTGTTCCAGCAAGGGATGCACTTCAGTGTGGAGGTCTTCGGAGAGACCCGGGGCTATGTGCTGGAGGTGTATGGAGCCCATTTCGAGCTGCCTGACTTGGGGCCCATTGGTGAGAAGCCGTGCCTAACAGCATTAGAGAATAACAGCACATTTGAACAGGTTTTGGCATTAGCACAGCATGTAATCTTACTGGACTGGATGTGGTTTACCTAGTTGCACAAACTCCCTGTCTAGTCCTACCTTCCTCTAACCATAACATGACCACACCATCCTCTGGCAGTGAACAGCAGGACTGCTATAGCTGTCACGTGACTGGTACCCAAGATGACTTTTAACCTGCTGCCTTCCAGGTGCCAACGGATTAGCCAATCCTAGGGACTTCCTGGTTCCTGTGGCCTGGTATGAGGATTACACGGTTGCCGGGGGATACACCATCATCAGCAAGTACCAGGGAAAGCTGTTCTCTGCACTGCAGGTGTGTATAAGGTGTAGAGTGTGTCTGTATATAGTGTGTCACCGATGTAACTGGGATGTGTTCAAGGACCTTATGTTGCTGAATCTCCCTCCCTGCTGCCCTGTCCACTGCACCCCCCCCACCCTGAATCGATGCTAATGAAGACTCAGAGTGTAAATAATGAGATGGCAGCATGAGCGCAGTGAGCTGGACGCCCTCTGGGGGGCTTCCCACCCCCCTTGTCCTCCAGCTGAGGCTTCAAATTGCTGAAATTACCTTGTTATCTGCTTGGCTGCCCCACTGCCCCCCCCCATAACACATTCGTGTGTCACTTCCTGTGTGTTGTTCTCCATTCCTCTTCTGCATGTTGTGACACCCACACACTGAAACACTGCTACCACAAGGCCATGTTTCTGCTGAGATGCTGTCTTGACCTGAATGTTTTTCCATTGTCCCGTCCAATCAGAAGGCCTGAGTGCTGTGTTTCCCCCCCTGCAGGACCATTCCCCCTTCAACGTGGTGGCCTGGCACGGCAACTACACGCCCTACAAGTACAACCTGGAGAACTTCATGGTCATCAACTGTGTGGCTTTCGACCATGCGGTGAGGGACCGGGGCCAAACAAACACACGCACACACACAATCAGAGCGTCCAGGCATGAGCTCTGAGATCATAGCCCTACCCGTTCTCTGTCCCCAGGATCCCTCCATCTTCACTGTGCTGACGGCTAAGTCTGTGCGCCCCGGAGTTGCCATTGCTGACTTTGTCATCTTTCCCCCACGGTGGGGCATAGCTGATCACACCTTCCGACCCCCGTACTACCACAGTAAGGGCACGACTGCTGACCCCGCCCCCCATCCTGAGACACACACAGGTCATAATAATATGGCTTGTTCAGTTTGTGCTCCTGATTTCTGGTCATTTTCAAATTGTGCATCGTGAGTGGCGTGTGGGAAACCATGTCCTGTGTTAGAGCTCCCCCTGTCTGCCTGGCAGGGAACTGCATGAGTGAGTTCATGGGCCTCATCAAGGGGCATTATGAGGCCAAGGAAGGGGGCTTCCTGCCTGGAGGGGGCAGTCTCCACAGCATAATGACACCGCATGGGCCAGACGCTGACTGCTTCGAGAAGAACAGCAAGGCGGCGTTGAAGCCTGAGAGGGTAGCTGAGGGGACTATGGTAAATAAAGCACTCACACAGAGGAGCGTGGGTAATTTGGAGATGATTTGTATTTCATATCTTGGATAGATCAGTGATGAAGAGGTCAAACTGCATATCTATAAATTAGCCGTCGTGACACATCCTGACCCCCCACCCCACCAGGCCTTCATGTTCGAGTCCTCCTTCAGCATGGCTGTCACCCGCTGGGGGATGGACACCTGTCGGCGCCTTGACAAGGATTATTACAGATGCTGGGAGCCACTGCGGAGTCACTTCGACCCCCACTGGACACCCAGTAGCCAGAAGGCCAAGGCAGGTAGTGGTGCAGACAATACATATGCTGAGATACCAGCCCAACTCATTGCCTATTTAAAACTCCGGGCTGCAGGTGGCCCGTTCACTGTGGTGCCATTCTACTCCCTGCAGGGCCTGGGGGGTGTCCAAGAGCCGCTGCGAGGGAATGATGGTCCCTGAACATAGGAATTGAACCGGAAACACAGCATTATAAACCAAAGCGCTTACAGGCATGAGAACTGGACCAAGGACACAGGGACCAAGGAGGCTCTCAACATGTGTACATGTATAATGGGGGTGAATTACATGTGTGTGAGACACTCTGACACATGGGGGCCTTATCACGCCTCATTAGACAGCAATCAGGAAAATCAGTGTCCCTCTTTTAAACAATCAGTGTCTGTTCTTCGTAATACGTCAAGCTTTTGACTTAACCGACACAATACATAAATAAAACCACAGTGTGTGCTTGTCTTTGGTTTTTTTTGAGGGGTAGGGCACATACAAAATGTTCTGGGAGAGTGGCAACAGATTTATCAAATAACTAAAAAGCAGCCCTTCACATCCAAAACAATGCTAGGTGTCTTTGAGAGGTTACAAGAGTGGATGACCAAGGCAGATCCTCAGGCATGACAGAAGAATCGTTTCCAACAACCAAACTACATGTTCACAATAACATTTATTACAGAATGTGACATCTACAGAACAGGCCAGCATTCAAAGTCCATGGTGTGGCCTTGGCCAGCAGCGTGTGGTTAGTAGGAGAGCTGGAAGGGGCGCTCGTACTTCCCTGCTTTGATAGATGCTTCCTTCTTGTCCTGTAGGAAAAGGAGGACCCAAGAAACACCAAATAGTCACGGGCAACGAAAGTTACACAAGCATACAAACATTCCGTAATATTGATGCTACTAATGACTGACGTGAACATTAAAGTAACTGCAGGACTGTGTGCTGCGTACCCTGTCGCTCTTGAAGACGTAATACCAAAAGAATAGCGGAGCGACTGCGAAGAGCCCCCCTAAGAGCGACGTCTTGGCCGTGGGTCTGAAGTTGGGGTACACGTTGGTACGCGCGTAGGTCCACCTCGTCAGGGCGGGGTCTTCCTGCGATAGAGTCGGACCGAAACACGTCAGATGTGCGGACATATGGCGCCAATCAGCCGGAACGCGAACCGAACATCGGTGCATCCCCTGGTGTAAGTTCGTTGATTAACAAGGTCACAGCACGGAGGGCGCCGTCATTTAACAAACGGACCAGGGCACACGGATCCCAACCGAAAAGATTAACAGTTAAAGCCGAAAGAGCAGCATGCATGTCGCGCTAATGAAAGAGATCGGAGGGGACGCGCGATGCGGACGTTTGTCAGCGACGCTCGCCGGCCGCACAGTAGCGGGATGCCCCGTCTCTTACGATGAGATCTTTCCGGTGCGGGTTGTTGAGCTGCAGTTGATACTGCCTCTTCAGCTGGGCCCGCAGCGCAGCCCTCTCCTCCTCAGCACGTCTCAGGTCCGGAGAAAGATTAAAATACTCCGCTGGCTCCAATGTTTTAGGCCGTGTAGCCAAGGGCGCCTCTCGGTAGTTCGCCATCTTGGAAAACTTCACCGGACCATCTGGTAGGTAGCAGCCGTATATTATTGGTCCTCCCGGCTCGCGTGAAGCACGGATTGTATCGCGGTTTTTCTCTGCTACCTGACTGCTCATGCAGTGTAAATATGAGTCATTTGTATTTTACACTTCAATTTGCATTTAACATTTACAGTTATATTTGACCCTGATTATTTTACACCTGATACTAGTCTTCCTTCAAAAATTAGCCCCGGATTTTTTCCCAATAGCTAGAAACGCTCCTGGTTAGCAGGGACATTAGGGTGATGCTTTATTACAAAGTGTAGCATCAGCGGTGGATTGGCAGGGGGGCTGCAAATCTTACGTTTATGCAAAACATTCATGAAAATTAAAGCCTGAACATGACATGCTGCTTTTATAGCTCTCATTTTAATGTATACATTATGGTGGGAGTCAACACAAAAATGTTTTGGTACTAAAAACAATTTTGAAATGAAATAGTTTGATTACACAGCATTAAAAACTATGTTGTTGAGGTGTGTGTTTAGTGAAAAAAGCATGTTTGTGGAATGCTAACTACTGCAGTGCATGATGGGTGTGATATTTGAAGTCTACTTAAATTTCATCATTTGCAACTATTGCAAGTGGTGTGAGCAGGCCCTAAATGTGAATGTGGAAGTGGGCAATGGCCCATTTTTGCCCCAGGGCCCAGTGTACAGTTGTTCTTCCACTGTGTAACAGGTTGGGTTGTAAATGAAGCAAATGTATTTTTGATTAACTGGAGAAATACACTCACCTAAAGGATTATTAGGAACACCTGTTCAATTTCTCATTAATGCAATTATCTAATCAACCAATCACATGGCAGTTGCTTCAAT